AATAAATTGATAAAAGTGACACTCAAGCAGATCAGTGATGCCCAGTCGCTTGATTATGATTTTCATCAGGTAAATTATTTCACGTGTAAAAATAATTAAGCATTGATTGTTTATTAACTGTATTGTTTATTCAAATAGCTGATTCTGGAATACCCAAACATATTAACACCCGACAATGTTTGGATAGTTGGAATTACTCAGGAACCGTCCACTCGGAGATACTATTTAGTTTTCTACTATGACATGAATACTATATTGGACAAGATGATGCAACTTTACAAAAGGGTGAATATTAAGTACATGCAGCACAGTGACTTTTACGAACTCAAAGAGATTGGAGCTGGCGGCTACGGAACAGTTTATACTGCCAAATATAAAAAGTATTCAGAAGTAAATGATATGGAGGAAACTGTCGTACTCAAGCGGTTTAAAAATTTTGATGAAATGTCGGAATTATTTATTTCCGAGGTAAGCAATAATTAATAGTATTATTAATTAAAGTGATATTTAATTTGATGCTTGCAAGTTTTTTTGTTTTATAGTTCAGAAATCAAGCCAGGTGCACAAACCGTTCTTATGATTTCCTTTCCCTTTATGGAGTGACACAAGACCCAGAAACACAAGAATACATGATTGTTATGCAATATGCTAACAATGGTAATCTTTTGTCTTATTTGGATCAAAATATTAACAAATTGATGTGGAAAGATAAATTACGGCATTTGGAGGATATTGCAAGCTATCTGTATATTATTCATCAAGTGGGATTAGTGCACTGTGATCTACATGGTGGAAACATTATTATGCACAATGATACGACGATAAAATCATTTATATGCGACCTTGGTCTCTCACGATCGGTGAATTCACACAAGTCCAATTCAACTATTCAAGGCGTTTTACCCTTTATTGCACCGGAAGTCTTCCATACCTGCAAATTTACTCAGAAGTCAGACGTATATTCTTTTGGTATCATTATGTATTTGATGGCAACTGGTGAACCACCTTTTAGAAATAGGCAATTCGATAGAGGTTTAGTATGTGATATCATGGGCGGATTACGACCATCGATGCCAGATTCCGCACCAGAGAAATACAAGAAACTGGCCGAGCGATGTTGTGATGCTGATCCTGATAAGCGTCCTGATGCAAGGACACTTAACTCGGATATTCGCAAACTTATTGATAAGGTGAAGAATGACAATACGTGGAATGTCATTTATCACAATGATATAAAACCCTTATCACGTTTCGAAAAGGAGAGTAAATACTCTAGTAAGCTTTTACCTACTGGAGAGTTGCCTAAACCGAGAAACAGTTATGATTCAGTTGCAGGTATGAAGATAACCATTGATTACACATTGATGTATAAATGAGGTCAAATATTAACATCGTCTATTGTATTTATATTATAATTTAGTGACTCAAGACGTTAAATAAGTTTTCCGGTTTATTACACATCTGCGTGAGTTTAATTCCGCTTTTATGACAGATTGGTTAAGTTCTACATCACCTTGTGATGTTCAAATGAGTTTGCCAACACCTGAAATTAATGAACCAACTTATGGTTAAGTTCTCGTTCTTACCATGTGTTAATAATTTGACTGGTTTATGATTTTAAGTTGCAACAAATCTAAATAAAGAGTGTTTTTTTTACTGTATGACAATTTGTTGAATGTTGTGTTGTTGTTATAAAGTTACATTCGCGATATAGTAACCGTTGTATTACAGATACTATCATCATCTTGCGACATGCAACTTTGGTGTTTTTATATGTTTCAATAATTTTTTGGAGACATCCGATTGAGCTGAAATCGATTATAGTAATAGTAATATTAGCTAGCATTGCTTTTTCACGAAGAAAACTGCACAGGTAACCGCCTTACGGCTACACCAAATTTTCATTAATTAAAAACTTTTTCTAGTTCTCGTACAATAATGACAGAATGTATGGCGTGTGTTATATGATGTACAAAAATATTGAGAAAAAAATTATTGGTATAACAAAATCGGTAATAAGGAGTTTGACTGTAATCTCATTGACAGAAATAACTTACTTGAGAAGGATGAATTGTTAGATAGTGTTTATCAATTAACACCACTGAACTAGGTCTGTTTGAAGGTCGCTAAAAGTTACTTGCATTTAGCTTAATAATATAGCGTCAAGGGATAATAATAAGTGTTGTATTGAAAATGTATAAGAACAGATTTTAATAAACTGTGTTACTATTCCTTATATGGGTATAGTCTCCTGTCGCCCGCTGTCATCAAAAATTTGCGGGGAAATGTTAAAAAGTTTTTATTACTTAAAAAAAAAGTAGCGCAAGTTTCCAAAGTTTGTTTTTTAAAAAAAAATTATTACGATTTATCTTATTGTGTCTTGAGAAAATTAATTTCAAAAAACTCGATATCAGAATCAATGACAGACTTTTTGTTTTACTAAAGCAAGAGAGAGACCGGAAAATTTAGCTTGTCATATGCATATACTGTCAATTGCGATACTTAGCCAATGGCTTAATAAATTGACAATGAGAAAGAAAAACATTAACAAAAACCATGTTCAGAAAAACTGTTAATTGGCAAAAAACCCCTTATACAACAGACTGAGAATTAGTAATAAAAAATAAACGTTAACCAAATGTCTCCCAAAACCTGCGACAGAAAACGTCCTGATAATGCATTGCCACATGAACATCACCTTGTTAAACAGAGAAAGTAATCTGCTCCTCGTTCTCTTGCGGTTTGTTTTCCTGTAACTTTTTCTTATTTCTAAGCCGTAGAAGGGTAGGTAAGAAGAACTATAACAACGTTAATTATCTATGTTGTAGCTTTAAAGCAATTGTTGAAATCAAAATTATTACAAATCCTGGAAAAGACGGCTAAAATTTTATAAAAAGCAACTACTTTTTTAATTTGTTGGCAACTATTATGTATGTTTGTGAAATACAATTGCGCGATCAAAACTTTATAACCACCTCACATTAAATGTTGAAACGCTGACATGCCAAATTTTAGTAGAAAAATCACGAATGCCTATATACTTTTTGCCGCTTTCACTGATTAATTATCTGTCCAACCGATGTTTAGTTGGTCTAAAGTTAGAGATTCCGCTCCAAAAAGTCTGACGTGCTGCGCAAATGTCATTGTCTGGATATGCTGTATTATTAAATTTAATGTACCACAGCCCGGAGCTCACGGAGAAATACATCATCTATACTATTCTTTCGTTCTTGACTCACTTCTTACTATGACTACAACCGTTATGTTTATGCAGCGCATGTCTCTCAGTATTGTAATAAAACTTTGTTGTAATTCTTTCAATGACGCGTTCTATGTCATATCAATCGACAAGAGGTAAATATGCGTTTTCCTTTCGTAATATTTTTTTGACACAAATTATATTCGGTAAAATTTAATATTCGAGAAATGTCTGATTACCGTTATGGTCAAAGACTATGAGCTCCCGGCGGCTTAATGTTTTTCAGAAGGAAGAACCAATTAGCTTAAAAGAATAGAATTTGTGCAATCGCTTACAGAGACAATTTTGTAATTAGGTTTTGTTGCAATCATTGTTGCTGCGAATGTGGACAAATTTGAATAAAGAAATATGCGATTGTTTTATAAATGTTGGACTAGTAGATTCAGAACCACCAATAGACAATCATATATACAATCGAGTGAACAGATTCTAGTTGATTTTTCCAAACCAACCTTTTCTCCTTGACGTGAAACCGGACATTTCTCCGTTTATGTTTTCCTGTGATTGCATGTGAACGCAAGTCGCATACACTATTAGCTAATCCACAATCCCACAATCAGTAATAACTGGTTCAGCTTATATTACAGTAAACGTTATTGTTCGTACAATTTGAGGAAAGACTCGACGTAGCACAAATTGATGTTGGTCTAATTTCTAAACTTGGTTAGTCCGACGGAGAACAAGCTATTTTAGATACCAAATTTAGGATAGTAATAGTAGTTTCCTCTGACATTCCAAAACGTATAAATACGACGCAGTCAAATTGAAAGTGCCAATGTTTTCGGTTGAACGTTGAACCCGCGCGATGGATAAACGTGAAAAGTTCATTGGGGTGGCAGGTGGTTTAGGCAATAACATAAACAACATGATCGGTGCTGGTACGTATGCCAGTTTGTTATAATTCTTGTAAACGAAACTGTTGACTAAGAGATTGCTCTGTTTCCGCAGGAATTTTTTCATCTCCTGGTAAGAAAAAGCCTTTGGTATTTACATGCCATTTAAACGTTATCACCATTTCGAATCCCTTCATTTTTTCTAGGCACCGTGTGGCGTAATGTGGGCTCTCCCTGGATTGCCCTTATTTTATGGGCAATTGGGGGTTTTGTGAGTCTTTGTGGAACTTTAACGTACACAGAGGTTAGCAAAACATCAATTGATCAAATTATAAAACTTTAAACATATTATTATTATATATTAATTTGTCTTTGGCGTTAGCTCGGAAGTCAATTTCACGGTGCTGGTGAGACGACTTATTTTGAATACAGTTTCCCAAAGCCTCGTCTGCTCCTCAGTTACTCGTTTACCATGGTGTACATAGTGTGAGTACGAAGTCAGTTTCGCGTAGATAATGGATCAAGTGTTATTGACTGTTGGCTTTTTAGGATAATTCGACCCGCAGGAATATCGGCGGTGGCAAATGTTTGTGCTCAGTACCTGTTATTTACGCTGGGATTGGACGCCAAAGGATGCGACTTGTACTATGATTTCCACCCTCCATATTTTCAAGGAAGCAACTTTTGGTAATAAATCACACGATTCACTTAATATTTGTGGATTACGTACGTTTTTGCTTATTTTTTGTTTATTATATAGGAGGCTCAGGTTGATTACCATTGCAATTTTAGCGGTGATTGCCCTGTACCATTCGCTCTCCAACAAATGGTCGAATAGGATCAACCAGGCCCTGGTGATGATAAAAGTCTTGACAATATTGACTGTTGTCATACTTGGATTGTCTTTCGCAAAAGCGTCGGCAGAGAGAGCAAACAATGGGAACAGAAATTGGAAATCGTTTTCTACTGCTGATCCTTCTTTCTATGATGTCAGCGCTACGACATGGATTCAAAGATATATAACCGCAATGCTGACGATTCTGTTTGCGTACTCGGGTTGGAACAATCTTAATTGTAAGCGTCAAATTAATTTTCGTGATCCGCATATGTTTGTATTTAACAGCATTTTGACTCTCTCCCTCCAGACCTCACTGACGAATATGAGACGGGAGGTTCCTATAGAAACCTTTGGATAAGTAACGCAGGAGCAGTCGGGATAGTGACTCTACTGTGTAAGTATAATTTCGTTCAACCGCGTCATTGTTTTACGCTTACCTTATCACCAACTTTGCATCGTACCAAACAGATCTACTGGCCAATTTTGCTTACACGGCGGTACTGGACGTTAGCACCATAACCGGAAGTACGGGATCGGATCCTAACGAAATCATAGGCATTTATTTTGCCACCCAAATCAGCAAGGTGAACGATGAAATTGAGAATCCAGATGCCAACATCAAAACAGCGCGAGCGTTGGCCTTTTTCATTGCTCTCAGTGCCTTTGGTGCTGCTGCCGTGTTAATGCAAAGGTAATGGAATTGGTGATGTGTGAGGATTTTGGTGTTAGTCACAACGTGTATTCCTCCTTAATTTCTGCGTAATACGTTGAATATTCAGTGCTTCAAGGGTGGTGGAAAAGGCAGGCGAGCACAACTATGTCCCATACATTTCAACGTGGTTGACAACGTGGAATACTCGATTAGGGACTCCCGTAAATTCGTTTATAGCGCTCTTTACGTGGTGTTCCTTTCTGACCCTGATAGTACCCGGTAGTAGTCCGTTCGAGTTTTTAACAGAACTCGAGCAATACTCTGCGTATTTTTTCTTCCTCCTCACAGCTATTGGTGCACTGGTATGCGTGTTATTATATCGTTTGTTGTATGCTATGCGTTATTATTATACCTTTTGTATTAATGAAAACGTCTGCGTTTTGAAACAGAAATTGCGGCGAAAAGGATGGCTAGAGACACGCGCATACAGGGCACCTTTATTTGCCGTGCTACTTTTCATTCTGTTTGCATTCTTGATTGTCGTTCTTGCGTGGGTGCCAGAGGCACACAAATCTTCTCCGGCAACTTCAACAATTCTAACGAACGCAACAGCCTTGCAATGCCCAACCAGTAAAATCAATACCTATGCTGTGTTTGGTACCAGTCTCGGAGCCGTGATGCTGACGGGCGTGTTATGGTGGTTCCTGGGAGATAAATTTACACGTGAGGAAGAGAACGAAAAATAATTCATATTTAATGTTGCTAAAGTAAGTGGAATATGCAATTTTCTCGAGTACAACACACGAGTTGTATGAAACAAGTGCGCGCTCTGTCTGTAAGCCACTAGCAGAGATTATTTAACAAGAACAGCATTTGCATTGCTAAGACGTAACAAAGTTGTTGAATCAATTTTCGCCCACACATCTAATCCTGGTTAGCATATCCAATAGCATGCCAAATAGAGTAAAGTTATCAGTCGAATCATCAGATATTCCCCGAGAGATTGATAATATGTAAGATTCAATTGCAAATAAACCACTATTTACGAATTTGGACAAATGATCTACTGACATGACTTTGAGATTTGTCATGAGTATTAGTCAGAGCAATCTTGATGATTAACACAAGATCCATTATCTCACGAAAAATGGAAATCATTATGAAAAGTCATCGTGCATGCCAAACTGTCTAATGAGGAAGTGCATTACTCAAAAATCAATATAATGGATTTTTTTATTTGGATTGCCGGTTATCAGCACTAAAAATGCGAAGCATTGTAATCGGCATATGTAAACGAGTATTACTTTGTGAATAATGATATGCGAGTGACGAATAATGTACGTACACGTCTCTTGTATTATTTATTGATCAGGTAGAATTTACATGTTTTAAATGGAAAGCATGTGTGTAGACAAGCGTAGCTCAACATTAACCAAGAGTTTAATTATTATTACCGTGAGCGCATGCATGAATAAATATATATACGACATGCCAAGTTTCTTAGCGAGTGGTCATATGACTGTTGTCAACAAATACGGCATTCCTAGTCATTCGATCTTCTCTTTGATCTTTCCCGGCATCGTGCGGTCATTCAAAGCTGAACCTGGTCTTAAAAAAGTGTATAAAATTACAAGTTGTTTGTTACTATTACTATTACTATTGCGGACGGGACGAATAAGCTAGTTTCATGTGACAACGTCAGATGATCCCTGGAATCAAATGACCTGATTATCAGTTTCATGCATAATCGACAATCAAACAACAGATAAGTCGAAAAAATCAAGATGGAAAAGGTTATGGACACGAGAAATAAACGACAGGGAACGTTATTTGATGGTAGGAGAGGGGCAGTGGTGTACAAAAAGATAGCATTTTTTGCAGATTTATTTCAATATGTGTGTGTTTCATCCAGTATGCAGGAACTCTTTGATCTACCCACTTCTTATCAAATTCATCGTGTCACCCAAACAAAAATGCAGTGTTTCCGGCATGGATTGATTAGCAGTAGGAAGTGCTTTTTTTAAATATCACAATATCCCATTTGGAACAGTCTAAGCTAAAACTTTCTTAACGTTCTGAGAATAAAGACTCTGTGATAGGCAAGTAATTTATCCTATTCTCGCAACAAACGCCAGGAATGTGGCGTGCCATTTCAAATGGTTTATGATATCACGGAGCTTTTTTTTTTTTTTACCCGCTCCGTCTTTTCATCTCTTTCCCCCTTAACCCTGATTCAAAGGGTTTCTTTAACAAGGTTTTTTCGTTTACTCTTAATAGCCGATTATATATTCGAATGTGATAAGGTTTAAAAATAAACAGTCGGCATTCGTCGAATCACCTGACAACAAAGACATGTAGGTGTATGCATGAATACGTTTAAAATATGCAAGTAGAACGCCCAACAATTTGAAGTTTGCAATAAGGTTTTTCCCTCCCTGAATTAAGAAAGAACTTCTTAGCCTCGTTGTGTTACTAACACTCCTCTCATGTGATAGTTAATTGCCTTTTTTTTTTAACTTGTTTCGTTGGCGAAAAAAAAAAAACCTGAAAAAGGACGAGTATTTTTTTTTTCCCTTTTCTTTCCGAACGTTTATTTTCGGTTCTAAGAATGCTTCTGGAAGTTGGGATAATTGCTTTTGGTGACATTTCAGTGTTGGTTTGTCAAATCGGAATATTACGTTTCATGTTACTTAGGATCGACAAACAGATGTCCGAAAAAATACATCATCTATCTATCGGTAAATTGTGTGTAAATTGTAATTTATTGCATATATATACTTTGCTATCTTTGATGTTTATTTTTTGTGAATTGAAATTCGTCTCAACAAAGGAGATCTTTCGCAACAATGCAATTCTAGTCTACCCCTTAAGATCGGAAATTATCCCGAGTCCCTGCAGGTATTATAGAGAGATTATACATTATCAAACTTGTCGACAGACATGTCATCTCTTTCCTCGGCCTCTCTCTCCCCCGCATCATAAAAGCTAAACACACGAGTGAAATGTGAGCGACTCGGTCATGTCGTATAAAGACGTTTTTCCAATTGCATTTAATCTTATTGACTTATCAGTTACGACAGAGATAAGACAACACATTTGTGTTACACATAATATCACATCCATTTTTGACAATTCTTATATTTACCCGTACGTCGAATCTGTGTAACAGCATGTAGATAAGACTTTAAAATAAATTCAACAAGCAACCCGCCATCTCCTTTCGATTTTTACGCCCTCGGTTTTTTTTTTTGACAGCTGAGCTAATACAGAGTGACAAAACGCCTCAACTTATCTAACAGATTACTTGTACTATAATAATAATCCCAACTGATACCAACAAACTTAATTTCCAATCCCACAAGACACATCAAAACATGCCCACGACACAAGTCTACTCAACTTCGCCAACGAGCTATACCTTTCCGACCCCCGACATGAGCCAGACGACCAACCTCTCACTTGATGATTACGGAACTATCAAAGGCCGCCGCTTCTATGTTGGTGATACCATTCCGTACTTTCTTCCCAACGACGAGGAGGAAATCGAACGATGGCACATGTTACATTATTTGACTCGATACACATGGAGAAGCAATTTCTCTGCGCCTGTCGAAGAATCGCTATTCGTCAAGGGTACCAGAATTTTGGATGTTGGGTGAGTAACTGATTGTGGAATAGTTATCATTGTGCTGTTTCGAGGGTTGTACAGGTACAACAAGAAGGAATAAAGACGCAATTCTTTGTGTGATCCAAAATTCTTTTCTTCCTTATTTACTATAAACGTATGACAACTATCTTCTAATCATTCCCCTTCGCATCTCCCCGTACTCTTTGTTCATTGTAGCTGCGGTTCAGGGACATGGATCCTCGAGATGGCTAATCTGTACCCACAATCTACTTTTATCGGTGTCGACATTGCCTCTATATTCCCTCCCGATTCGACCAAACCGCACAATGCCGGGTTTCTCCAATGTAACATACTCAATGGGCTTCCGTTTCCAGACGACACGTTTGACTTTGTTCATATCAGATTCATGAACGTGGGGTTAACGGAAAGGCAATGGGAGGACCTGGTTATTCCCGAACTGATTCGAGTCGTCAAGGCTGGGGGATGGATCGAGATTATGGAACTCTGTAATACATGGGATAATGCCGGAGAGAGTACAAAAAAGTTGTTCCAAGCTAGTGAGTATTTAATAAAGTGATTTATTGGTTTTTTTGTTTTGGTTTGGTTTGGTTTTCGGATTCTGATCAAAAGTACCAACCAACAAATTTTAATTCTCAAGATGACGCCCTCTTTGCTTCTCGTAATCTCTGTCCCAATATCGAACCACATCTCGAGCAATGTTTGAAATCATGTGATAAAGTCACGGATATATGTAAAGATGAGCGAAGTACTGCGGTCGGGGCTTGGGGAGGCGCTCTTGGAGAACGGGTATGTTTTTGAGATTATGGATTTAAGCGCTCAGCGTTTACGAGACGTATATATAACCCAATAGTCTTTATTCCCCAAATAACACAGATGAGCCAAAACATCCGCCGTTATGCCAAATCCTGTATCCCGGCATTAAGCGAAATCCTCCATACGGACCTCGAAGAATACGAGGCCACCCTCGAGAATTCTCTCCGCGAAGTCGACGAGAACAAAAATTCAGTCAGGTCGTATAGAATATATTGTAAAAAAGTTAAAAAGAACATTATTCCGAAACTGAGTAGCGGTCCCAATGCGGCTTTGCAGAAGGGATTTGCCTATTTCTAATTCTTTCCCCGCAAAGAGGGGAAGCTCGATCTCTACGAACAATGGGGGAAGCGAACTAATGGGAATGGGAATTTTGGAAATTGGAAAATGGGGAGTGGGAGGATTTTTTGCTTTTGGATATATACAAACTGTGTGAGAATCATTGTGAGAAAATGAGACAAGACTTAAATGGGAGCTTTGGTTTTTATAGTCTCTGAGGAACTCGGTCAAAGTTCACATCAACATCTGCAGTTGACTTTGGAGTAGACCTTTCTGAGTATCGACTTTTTATCATTTTGCTTGCGATGGATTTGTTTTGTTGGTCATTTGGTTGGTCATTTTGTTGGTCATTTGGCTTATTTTGGTTGGTTGGGTTGATTGCTCGCAGCTATAATTGTTTGCTCCCCCCCTCCTGTTACTGGACAATATTTATTTTATTACTGTAAAGTTGTTACCTACATAGTTTATTTAGTTTGAAGAGTTCTAACCAGCTCGTTTTACATATAATCTTTTATTATTATGGCTCGGTTGACCTTATCTTTGTAATTAGTTTGTACATAACTATACGGAATGTATGCGTACCAAGATATTATACATATATTCATTAAAATATAAATAAAATATATATAATAATAAAGATGTAAAAACACAAACAAACGACAAACGAAAAAACCAATAGTTCAACTATTGTAATAATTATTATTATACTAGTCTATGACGTCACACGATACTAATCCCATTCCGGTTCAACAATGCCCTGTTCCGAGTGATTGAGCTTATTTCAACCCGCAAGTATAAGGGCGTTCCCATGAGCCGCAGCCAACATTAAAGAAACACCCCGAACCTTTTTGACTTGCCCAGTTTCCCAAACACGAATATATAACCCGTCTTTATTATCCCCTTTGGCAAAACCCTTCTTGTTCGACTTGTATAGCTGTAATAGAAACAAACATTTTTCCTCGCTTCTGAACTTTTAGAAATGACTGACATACGCGTGACTTTAGCCATTGGTATGTATCGAAAGAGGTTCAGTACAATGCGTCTCATGCAGTCGTCAGACAAGAAACATTGGTCGTTGGCAATAAGCAGCATATACTAAAGCAACCCCGTTTCTACCTCTCTTTTTCTCCCTCTTGACAATTACAGACTTTGGGACGACTTTTTCCGGTATTTTCTCACGCTACTACATGTATTCGGATTCTTATTCTTGATAACGGTCGTTCTAAATATCCTCCCCCCCCCCCCCCCCCCTGCTTTACTATTAAGGATTTGCACTTGTCCACAAGGACAGAAAATTTGAAGACATTGAAGTAAATCAAGACTGGTATGGTGAATCGAATTTTCTCTTGCATATTAAACAATTACCGTTCTTAACTCTCGTCACTTTTCCTTCAAAGGCCGCGTATAGGCGTGCGCGAACCGTTTTTCAAGACACCGACGATTTTACAGTACGATGCCGATATGAATGCTGTCAAATGGGGCTTTCAAACCATAAACCGTGGTCCTGGTCGCGGAAAAAGAAACGATGATAAACATTTGCGCATGGTAGAACTATTCAAATTGTACTTGTCAGAAGACGGTGAGGGCAATAGAAGAAGATTGCCGGATGGCTTGAAATATGAGCAAGCGATTACAGATTATTTAAGACATTTGAAAAAGGTGAGCGAAGATGATTCGGAATGGAAAGGTCTTGCCGGGTCTTTATTAAGTAACGGATAAAGAGTGTCGATTAGTGTGAGATTGTGGTCTTGGGTTTAGCATATGGGCAAAAAAAATATATATACGAAACGATTATTGAAATATTTGGTGTAGCAAGATGACACGCGCAAACACGCAAACTAGAAACCATAGCTTACAAAGGGGTCGGTTTTGTTTAACATTCGTTTATAAAATTAATCTTATCTTTTGTTATTCATGGAAACCAATAATTTACTTTCGTAGGAAATTATGAGCAAAATAGACTCCCGATGGCCTGGTAAGAAAGACTTTTTATCTTGCCAAATTTCTACAAACGTTCTGGGCATACTAATAAACCCACCTATTGAACAGGACTAGAATATTACTCACAAGTTAGACTAATCCTTTCGGTCCCAGCAGAATGTAAGTCGTTTTCTTTCTCCTTTTCTCTTTTCTCGCTCTGGGCCTATTTCTCGAATTCGTTCCTTCATGCTGTTTCAAATTTTTACCTTAGGGGGTCCAACAACGAAGAACACAATGAGACAATGTTGTCTTGATGCTGGGTTAATAGATGACATTTTCACGAATAATTTGGAATTTACTACTGAGCGTGAGTTGAACGTTTTCGAGTTTTTTGCGAATGGAAATTCGGGAAAAAAGAAATTACTTTTGACTTGTGAGCTTTCGTTGTTTTTAGCCGAAGCTGCCGCGATATATTGCATGGAATATTGTAAAGACTACAGTCTGAAAGAGGGAGGTTAGTATGCTAAATGTGTACGCATTACGTGTTTTTATGTGTGATTCGCCGCAAGCGAGGTGATATACGATCATGCAAGTTGCTTCCATGAATCCCTCTAAACTATGCCAACGATAAACTTGTTACACGCTACACAGATACATTCACGGTTGTAGATTGCGGTGGAGGTACTGTAGATGTAACAACGCGCGAGCTTCTCGCGGGCGATAGATTGGGAGAAATAACAGAGTCCAAGGGTGACTGCTGCGGCGGCAGTTATGTTGACCTCGCTTTTCTCAGATATATCGCCAATAAACTCTTCATCCCTTGGGATGTAATGGAAAATGTTATGGCTACGTATGCTAGCGCGATCAAATATTTCCTCGAAGCATTGTTTTGGCCAGTAAAGTATAGCTTCACAGGCAAAGAAGAAGATTTCTATGAACTTTTACAGGGTAGTTTTGAGATAGATATCGAAGAGGCGCTTCCGATTTTGAGAAAATATGTTCCGGAGGAATACACATCGGAATTGGATGAATACGATTGGGTGATCGTCATTGGTTTTGGAGATGTGAAAGCCATGTTTGATGGTGTCATCGACCGGATCCTTAAACTGGTCGGGTAGGTTGCATTTTTGAGAACTCTCTATTGTTGTATTATTGCGTGTTATTTACGTGAGAAAGTATTTCTGCCTATCAATTGGTGTAACAGCGATCAATTAGAGAGTGCGCCCAAAGAAGTATCTGCAGTATTTCTGGTTGGTGGCTTTGGTGAAAATAAATATGTTCAGAGTCGTATTAAAGAAGCATACTCTAAACCTGGACGGGTTATTGCGGTCCCTGTTCATCCCATAACTGCAATAGTTCGTGGTGCAGCTATGTACGGTACGCGTTATTTTTATAGTACGCTTCATTCTTGTTAACGTTCTGCTTAACAACTAACCTTTCTGTTTTCATTTAAAAAAGGCCTGAACTTTGAGACAAACAAAGAATCCCCATACTACGGAATAAACCGTACTGTACAAAACCGGATGTTAAAATTCACTTACGGCACTGAAATATCTTCCGAATGGAAACCAGGCGACCCGATCACGCGTCGCACTTCGTCTAATCGCATAGTCCGGTTCTGTTGTCTTGCACGCCGTGGCACACAAATTGATGTTACTAACAAATTTACGGACACATTTGGTCCGGTCAATCCAAATCAAACGAAGCTGCCGTTCAATCTGTATTATACAAGTGAGTATGATGCAACGTATGTTGATGATGAGAACATGTATGCACTCGGGAAATGGTCTGTGGTATGTGTCTTTTTCTTTTCTTTTCTTTTTCAAAAATGGTAGTGGTGGTCCGTGTGCACTATTGCTGAGTGTAGAGATTCCCGCTGCTGGCTGATTTGATAGGTTTTTGCTTTGTTTTGTTCATTTGCCTAATTCCCGATATTCTGATTTACAGTTATTGAACGATGTCCGTCTTGGATTAAATAGACCGGTTGAATTCTCATTAAGTTTTGGAACATCAGAAATTAGAGCGGTTGCGATTAACAAACGAACAGGTGAAATGTATCATACTACGTTTGAATTTCCAGAATAATTTTGCGTACCTAGTAATTAATATAAGGAAGATCTAAGAACAATCTGATCTTACTTTGCTATAAAGAATAAATAGTCTTTGGGATATTTGGAAATGGAAATATTAGATTCGGAAATTTGTAAAGCGTGGGATTGCTGTTGTAACTTGAAATTGTGCTGGATACCCCATGGTTTTTTTTTTTTGCTAAATTTCTGAATCACACAAATTTTGCTAGATGTTAATAATAAAATATTAAGAAAAAAAATTTAGTGACGTTGATGTTGCACAATATTTATATTGCACATCACGATCATCTTTGTATGATCCGGAAGCTGTATACTAGAGGTACTTGGACGTAAGACAACATTTTTGAAACAAAACGTTGGTGAAATAGCGTATAGGTTATGTAAGCGTGCAAGCTATGTTGTCGAATTCTAAAATAATATTTGTTTACTAAATTTCAAGCGAATCGGAAATTCGTTCATCGCTTAAATAACAATGGCTTTTTTCTTCCGGCGTCATATTTTTCATACAAAGCGTGATTATCAAATCAACAAGTACCTTTTCTTTTCAATGACGATGAAAGAGTTTGATGTTCATGTAAGAATACAAATACTGATTTTAGCGTAACATTTTTAAAATAAGCTCGTTATCATGCGCATCACGTTTAGACATTAGTTTTCTGATTGATAACATATGCGCTGAGACTAAAGAAAGGTTTGCAAGTTGGGTTTCAGAACAGCTTCTTGCCAAAAACATGTCTTGGCAGAATGCTGTGCAAAACGTAGAACAGTTTTATATTAATATGCATTCACTTGCATTAATATGAAAACTAAATGTATCTTAGTCTTTTAACCGCTAATTATAACAAGAGATTTCTTGCAGATAATAATAAACAAACAAGCAACCCTGAATACATAACAGTAGGGCCTTATAGTTATTTATTAGTTCTAATCCGACATACATATCTTAAAAGGAATGTCCCCTCCCAACTAAGCCAAGAAAGGCTATATCAACCGATATAAGCAAAAATCGTAAATTAAAATGCCAGCCAGGGTTTATTCAATAGATTGATTGTGCTATTACGTTTGTTAGTTTACATGAAACAATGATTAATTTGCCAAAACCTGAATTGCTTTTTTTTTTCGTAAACTGTGACATTTCGAATTTGCAATACAGATCCAACCTGCTTAAGCCGGGTCAGAAAACAGAAAAACCAAGTTCGCCGATTTGAACTTGTAGTAGTGTACTGAGCCAAAACAGTCTTGGGTATAAATTAATTACATTGAATGCTCTCTGCTTATCGCTGAACACTGCAGAAAGTTTAATTTCTAAACGCTGGGTTTATTTAAACAAAAAAAACTATTATTATTATTGTTATTACCCATCTATTTAGAAACAAAAATAGGCAAGCTCGTGTTCCTTGTGTCATTTTACGATACAATTAATAGAAAAATTTCTCGCAAATACTGCGCTTACCCCACCCCCAAATGGCTGATGCAAAATGCACATGCGAGGGGGCCTGCAGACCCCATATTTTAACGTAATTCCCCAAATGATCTTGGCTTTATTGACACAGTGGAGACTGGTCATTAGCGCATGATGACGAGCATGTGACTATACCGGATCTTTTAGTTAATATTCTTAGTAGGGACGTAGTCAGGGACAATTGTCAGTATTGGTCTGAGTTGGGGATCACTAAACTGAAACCATACCAAGAAGAAAAGGGGGTGGGGGGAAGTTGGGGGGAAGTTGGGGTGTGAGGATCACTAAATTAAACAGTCAGCCAAATCAACTGCATAGGAACAGTTACAGTTAGTTAATGATGAGCAAGTAGACTCGAAATGTCCGGCGTCAGGTAAATTTTGGTATATTACATATAATAATAATATGACAAAGCACCACTAAGCGTAGAGAATATTGGTATTCGCGCATAGAGATAGCTTGATGTCTTAGCGAAGGTTTTTATAACAAAAGTGAGTCACAGGATACGTGCGTTTGCGTAGGTATTAATCAAACACATAAACGGCAAGGACAAAAACAAAGGTCTTAAATTCTTTATCAATCAATGACGCTTAATCCGGTTGCAAGAAACCGTGTATATCTTCATATATGGTAAACATCAATACATGCCTAATACCATAAGACATGGGTTTGATTCTCCAGATCCATATGCTCGTAATCAATTCTACACGCATTCCCATAAACAGATCAACGAGGCCAATCATGATATCAGTCGACATGTTACAAAAAGTGGGTTGAGAAATTAAGCAACCTTTTTTGGAATACCATACATAGGTAAAAAGGAAAGTCCGCATATCCCGGAAAACGAGATATCAAAAGAATTTTGTTATACCTTTAAGGGTGGGTGGTTTTCGCTAATTATGGTTTCTTGAGAAAAAGGTGCTCTTTCTATTGCTATAAAAAGATTCTAGTCTTTACTTTCATTCAACATTTACGTCATATACTAGGTAATATAGCTATATCGATCATAAATTTATACATTTACAGACAGGAGGCCCTAAACTCTCCTTTTTCCCTTTATCTCTCCTCCTTGTGAATGGCGTAACCATCAGTAACAAGTTTAGCCGAAGCCGCTCCTGTTTTTCTTATTTCTTTAGTTCCTATGTAATTAGATAAGCAGTTGATATGACGGCAGAGCATACATCACCAGTGAGATATTAATCTTAATGAATGCGGAGCAGCACATAGTTAGTGATAGGAGATCGTTGCCATTTATACAGACGATATTGTGGTGTGGTTGTTTCGGATCGATCTTTGCGCTAAATTTACCATATATATCGAGTCGGGCAATATAAGTTACCGGAATTGAAAATCGGTTAATGTAATTCAGTATCCACAACATACATTATTTCAACTTCAATGATTATATTAACATCATTATTGGCGCGCGATGGGAGTTAATTAAGGAAAGGTGTGCGTATAACGCAATTAATAACCGTCGATCCATTTCGACCGCCTGTTATTTTATTGGCATATGTAGTTCGAAGGCCGGATATAGATAAAATTTGAAGATCAAAGTCTTTGTGTGAAACTCGATTCATTTATATATTATAGGGTTGGGTTGATACGAAAGGAGGTGTGAACAGTATAAACACTTTTTACATGTTAATACAACGGATCTCAAAGAAAAGTTCTACACAATAACACCCCCCCCCCCTCCCTCGTCGCATTTCGACTAGACTGAGCCCCCCGTTGATCAAGCCATTCTTAGAGATCTTTGCATGATCCGTTTCTGTTCACAAAGAGTCAGAGTAGAATTTCTTTAGATTGTCACAGTAAGAATGGAAAACGACGGAACCACAGACACTACACCATTACCTTCCGATGACGATTATGTAAGTTTATCAGAATCACCGATTTTACAGAGAATCATTGACCTCTAAACGTTGATCGATTTATTTCCTACACCAGAAAACCTTCGTATCCGTCACCGGACTTGTAGCGTGTAGTGTCAATTTTCTTAGCTCAGCTTACGTTCTGTATCGTGTTTGTCGAAAATCGCGAGTTTCAAGCAAGCCATTGCCACATGCTCTAAAAGTGCTTGGATATCTTGCCATAGCTGGTAGGCGCTATACAAATTTTCAACTAGTATTCGACGAATAAAAAATAACAACTCGCCGTTTTCTCTCCACTTCTTCCTATAGACATCATCACGTCACTGCTTTTTGTATTAAATATCGTAAGCAGTTTGATCTACTTTCTTGTATCACATTTGGTAAATACTAATTATGGCTCAATTTTCGTTCCTAGTCATACACCGTAATCCAAAGAACAGTATTGCCGGGAAAATCCTGTCTTGCGGTGGGATTAGTGACATCGTTTATTTTCCAACAAAGTCAATCTGTGATTGTGATATTATCTGTAATTACATACGTAAATATAACATGTTTAATAATACTTGTCATTATTATCTCGAAATTGCCGTATAAAATTCTCACATTCGTATTTCCTTCTCACCCTTAAAGTTTCGTGTATGTCTTCATAAAGCATGCGATTTTGGACGTTACGACTGGAAACTTTGGGCGGGTTCCTCAGTCATGTCCCTTGGCGTGTGCTCGATTAATTGGGCAAACGTTGGTCCAACCGAATACTGGTACGAATGTGTTCTTTATGTGTTTAATTAGTAGCATCGTTATTGACGGCCGGTGAATATTTTAGGTGTTTGGAAACCACTAGCAACCATAAATTAGCCTTCGCTAGCTTTGCCATTACGTTTGGAACGTTTTTGCTTTGCGCTATTTGTTATTTCGCTATCATGAGAAAGCTCAAAAGGACTGGTAAAGAACTGATTCAATCTACCGAACATGCTATTAAACATGCCGCTATTGAACGAAATGTTTTAAGAAGAATAACTGGCTACATTCTGATATTTTTTGTGAAATGGTATGTGCAAACTAACCACAGTGTTTTGGTCTGGTCTCTGTCTTTTTGATATTAAACATTTGTCTGATTATGTAATTTTAGGCTTCCTGCTTATGTTTGTATAACTGGATTCATTGGTGGAGGCGTAAGTATATTATAAGTTTTTTACGCAATCAGGTTTTTTTTTATCACTTGTTAACATTGTATATAATCTTTAATTAGCACCCTTTATCATGGACATTTATTGTGGTTATAATATCTATAAATCTTGGTGGTCCTGGCTACGCAATTCAGTACGTCATTTGCGAAGGCTTTTCCGATGACGCGCCTGGCTCATGTGAGCAAAGTATTATGAGACTGAGCCACGATAATAGAAGTCCCAACCCGAGCTTTATTCAAAGCGGCATATCTAACACCGGTCGCGGTTCTTTTCAACCAAGCATACATAAATCCAATAGTAGTAGCGTAATTAATGTACTAGTCGTACCACCCCTACAATTTAATTGAAACGACGTATAATAGAGTTAAACCGTATGGATGAGGTAATAATCGAGGTTATTAGAGTGAGGGCTGTAAAACTCGTAAACTGAACTTAATAGAAAAGTATTATTTTTAATACGATAATCCATCCATGTCTGTGTAAATAATAATAATTTGCCGATAGGTAATACAAGATGGAGGCGAAGTTAATGGATACGTTGTTAAGTTAATAGTAATAAAGGTGAATACCACGTATTATAAACTTATAGAGAAAGCGAGAGAGCTACATACGCATGACCATGTCCTGAGTTAAAATTTTACACTGTGCATGTCTTTCCCAAGAAAGAAAAGCGGTTTGCCATCCACACAAGTCGAACGTGTATCCCAATCAATCAATCATGTCCAACAGAGTTTAAAACTTTAAAACTTAAGCCTTGTAACACAGCGGGGTAATATGTAAATCATGTTTCATAGTATTCTGCTTAATTATACAACATACCATATTCTAGTTAGTTTAAACATCCGGGCATGGAAAGATGATCGATCGAAAGAGATCATGTTTAACTTTCTATTTTCACATCCTGTGGCACATGCGGCTGTCAAATCTAAAAGCAATCTAAAAATCGCATTGCTCCCGAAACTTGTAATCGTTGTGCATTGCTATAACCTTTTCATTCTTCAATCTGTCTGTTAAAAATGTGAATTCCTTATAATATATTTGGTATAACGTAAGACAATCCGATATCGATATCTGCAAGTTCGGTGATTTCCTTAACAGTAGCACATGTGATGTTTGACACCATGCAATCATCACATGAGTATTCCGAAATGGATTAGATCTAACTCTGTCTTTGTTTTTACGACTTTTTAAAATAGAATTTTTGCAGTAAAGTCGGCGACAAACTAATTTAGCAAAGCTCGTTTCATTCAGTATAGCGAATAAAGACGGCAACCATTTTTAAGTCTTGAAAGATTTATTTATTGGCAGCGATCGCGATGGCATGGTCAGAATTGTTACGCTAATTTGTCAACGTGGTGGCCATCTCTAAAAGACTTTGAGTATAATCACAACATTATGGTGATACTTCACTTGTTCAATGTGGGAAGTACATATTCAATCAAACTGCAGCCTTATGATTAGCCCACCATCAAATCCAAGACTGGCTTCCGCGCGCGATAAAGCCATTTGTTGCGGTATCAGTATGGTTCCATCACATCGCATCACATCACATTACGGCATTGATCGCATTGATTAGTCGCTGCTTCACAATAGTGAATCGAAATAGGCAATTTTATCAAAAAGGCTAATCGATTACTGGCGTTCTTGGCAACAAATCGTTAATGGTAATCGAAAAAACATAAGTCTACAGTCGGCATATGTTGAGCCATAAAAAGGTATTATCATACATAGCAGGCACATAGGCGATTGAAGCTGAATTAGCTACAGAGTTTTTGTCAAATTTGATTAATTTAATTAAATAACTTTGGAGTCGATGGTATCTCTAAGAGAAAATTTGTCTATTGCAAGACGGGAGTATGCGAGTGGTGCAAAATGTTTAGTAACGATTGCGTCCATGTACATGCGTACATATATCTGCATGTGAGAATTAACAAATTTCAGTAACGTTTCAAGAATTTTATTTTTCATGTCGCCGATTATAGCCGTGTGCGAATATATAAACATTTTTCTTATACGTGTCGATAGATAAATGACCAGTAATAAGTAACGCGTCTCTTATTATGCAAGAATAGCTGCGTCTCTCAACTATTTTGCTCTCGCTTTGTTTGACTCGCTACCAACTATTGCCCCATTTGAAATACGCGGATAGTTTTATATGTTTTGTAACAAGTTTGCGGCCGGCTTAGAGAATAACATATGGTTTATTGTCTTTACTAGCCAATTTAGTTAAAAGAATTAAAGTGTAGTGAAATAAGTACTATGGAACTGATCTTACTTATTCAACTTTTTTTACAGCTGGATGCAAACAGGCCAATATTATTATACTATTTATTATATCGTTAGTTTCTTGCTTGTTTCTTTAATAGGCAAAATAATAAATAAAAAGTAAAAATTGTTAACCAACAGACCATTGCTTTTTAAACTGGTCACTAGGTGGGTGGCCGCTCTCTCTTTTGCTTCTAGCGGTGGACGGGTGCAGACTGGATAGGTGGTAGGTAGTTACCGGTGACGCCCTCTACTCACCTCTCTCACCAGTGTCCGCTTGCAGTAAAGTGACCGGCTGATGAGTGGATTCCCGCAGCACGCTCAGATGTTTTTTTTTACACAACTTCAAATGACGGGAAGAAGAATTGGGGTAAGTATAAGGTGGGTATCGCATTTTTTACGTATAAACTAATTTTTTTTTCTTTCTTCTTTTTCCTCTCCTCTTTCCGATAGGTTTGCTGGAACGAGATACTTGGTGGGACTAATTCGATGACTGTTTGACTGTTTGTGAAGAATCTGTTCCTGAAGCTGGTTAAGATAAAAGACAAATTTGGCTACTTAAAACTGGTGTAAACAATTTGAGGTAAAGCTGTGGCATGCCACGGGATTTTTTGTTATCGACTATTCGTCTACCATTACATTATTATATTATAGCAATAGTTGTATATTAAACATTGCATGATAATAACGATAACAGAAAAATAAATTACAAAAAATAAAAAACATAATATGTACAACTGACATAATGAACAAAAATTGACTTTTTATAACAAAATTTACATTGCCCATTGACAAATTGACAGACGCAAAAGAATTCTTTCGACTGTTAATTGACTTTTCTCTTGCACTGTAGAAACTCGCAGTGCTTATGCAAATGTACATGTAGGTGAGCATTAACTATTACTATAGCGAATAGGGAAAGAATGTTAATTTACTACAATACTTTAATTACTGTTTCATTATAACCGTTAAATTGATATACTTATCAAATATCAAGCTTTAACGTAATTTTAGTCTAGTCTGAATGTTCAAGTGTCACGATTTGAATGTAGAAAATTCTTTAATGACGCACGGGAACCCTAGCCAACCGTTGAGATTATCCCTAAACTAATTGTATTCACTGAAATCGACGACCGATGTGATTCTATGACTTTAAAGACTATTATTTCTCGCTGTGAACGATAGTAACTTACTTAATTAGTATGTTTGAATTGCCGTATTCGTAAATCAGCACACCCTTATGATCAACCGTAATAACTAACGGTAATAATAGAGGTGTAATTGTATGTGTGCACACTAAGTGTGTTGTTTGCTGACTTGGCATGAGTCATATATGCGTTACCGTAAATGTAATAAGAAAGCTATCCTTTGCTGTAATAATGTAAGTCAGTTGTACATATTATGTTTTTTATTTTTTGTAATTTATTTTTCTGTTATCGTTATTAT